TTTTCCTAATACACAGCTGGAACCTTCCTTGGTGCAACTAGAGGCCATTACCTCTTGTCCTAAATACCACAGGAGTGTGAGATGCAGTCCTACAGCTGGGAGTGGTGCGGAGACAGGGCATTCACTGCCTTCATACTCCAATGCTCCTCCAGCATCCGCTCACAATCTGTTTGCTAGGAGGTTTCATGGAGCTGCCTGCATTCTCAGCCCCTGGACCAGGATCCAACTCAAACATGCTGGACTCCTCCATCTCACCCAGGGCCACACAGTGTCTTCACATTTACCAGGTCCCAGAGCTGCACTGTCCTCCAGGTCTCACTCTTGGGCATCTGAATTGGTCTGGGCCTCTAGTTTCATCTGAGCCTTTTTATTTCTCTAAAATTTCCTTGTTTGCCCTGCCTCTGCCCTCCTCCTGCTTCAGAAGCTTACAACCTTTTCGTACCTGGAGCTTCCTCCTCTTCCTCCTCTGCTTGCCTGCAACCCCTGGCACCAAGGCTATTTTTTATTTCTTTCCCTTTTTCATCATTGCCACTTGTTGAAGGACAGCTGCCCTGCTGGGAACACCAAACCTGCTCCTTGCTAGGGGTCAGCTCAAACACCACTCTGAAGACAAAAGACTCTGGGAAAAGAGGATGCATGGCAGTCCTACTAGGCACAGAACAAACCCATTGCTTTTATTCAAGGACTGGAGCAACTTGCTACTCTCTAGATATGTAAGAACAGCATCCAAGCTAGATATTTACAGCTAATACTGCAATGAGCTAATAATAACGAGGAGGGACATTAAGATGATTAGAGGGCTGGAGCACCTCTCCTATGAGGAAAGGTTGAGGGAACTGGGTTTGTTTAGCTTGGAGAAGACAGGAGACCTCATTGTTGTATTTCAATACTTGAAGGGAGCAAATAAACAGGGGGGGAATGGCTGTTTATGAAGGTGGATAATTATAAGACAAGGGGGAATGGTTTTAAAGTGATACAGGAAAGATTTAGGTTAGATATTAGGAGGAAGTTTTTCACTCAGAGGGTGGTGACGCACTGGAACAGGTTGCCCAAAGAGGTTGTTGATGCCCCATCCCTGGAGGTATTCAAGGCCAGGCTGGATGTGGCTCTGGGCAGCCTGGTCTGGTGTTGGCAACTCTGCACATAATAGGGGGGTTGAAACTAGATGATCATTGTGGTCCTTTTCAACTCAGGCCATTCTATGATTCTTGATAATGGAACAGTTTAATCCTGAGCAAATAGAGAAAAAAAAAGCTCTCAAAATATGTGCCTTGTAAAAATTGGGAACTTGGTATCAAAACACAAACAAGTTTTCTTAACTTGAAGAAAATATTACTTTTCTCTGCTTGTTTGTTGCAATACATGCTTTTTAGTAATTGTTAGTTTCCTGCCACTTGTTTTCACCTTCCTTCCTCTAGAAGAATTTGTTTTTATATCCAGCACCAGAATCAAAATCTTTACAAAGATAAATTGCTTTCCTTAACATCAGGGCAGGATTTCAACTTGTCATTGCTGAGCATCTCGATGCTTTCTAGAGACCCTAACAGAAAATCCAGGACATTTCTGGAGAAACCACAGTTATGCTTGTATCCATCGCTTGTAGCCACTGCATAATCCGTCTCCATACAAATAAAATAAATGCCCACTCATTACGCTAGTGTCAGAGCCTTGATTTAATTCATCTACCTTTATTCAGGCTGAGTAGCGTTCTACTCTGGGAGCTGTTCTATTAACCAACTAGGCATAAAAAGGCAATTTTTTGGATACATTTGAAGCATTAACAGATATTATTTACAATCTGTATTGTCATAACAGCTGGTTGCCAGTCCAACTCTAGGGAGTTGTGCTTTTGACAGCGTGCTATTACAAAAAGTCAATGTTTGATCTTGCAGGCTGATGCAGTGATCCAGGAGGTACGGGTACCCAAACCTATCTACTGGGATTGTTCATTCGTGCCCAACAGATGTTTGGAGAAATGATACCAAAGCAGATATATGTAATATATACTGCTACATTCAGGTTTGTACTTGAATTGTAAACTTTCTCATCCAGAGGAGGCCACAAAAATGATCAAAGTGCAGGAACACCTCTCCCATGAAGAAAGGGTGAGGGAAATGGGCTTGTTTAGCTTGGAGAAGGCTCCAAGGAGACTTCATTGCAGCCTTCCATACTTGAGGAGAACTTACAAACATGAGGGAGACTGACTTTACATGATCTGGTAGTGATAAGGCAAGGGGGAATGGCTTTAAACTAATAGAGAAAAGATTTAGGTTAGGTATCAGGAGGAAATTCTTTACTTGGGGGGGGGGGAGGTGGGGGGCACTGCCCATGGCAGAGTGTATGGGAACTACTGATTCGTAGCCTGAAACTTTGACTAATCACCTAAGTAAAGCAATAAGTCAGCCCTGGAAGCACAGGTGAAAGCATTTACCTGTGCTGCCGGAAGGGGTGGAGCTTGGCTCCACCTCTCCTAGATCCATTTAAGAGCTGATTACCAGTAAGGAAGGATCTCTTTCTGGAGATCCCTCCTTTGGGAGTTTTCTAGCAAGCCCAGGAGAAGGGTAAGCCTTCTATCTTTTCTGATGTAATAACCTGCTTAGCCAAACTCTCTTGCATATTTCTTAATTATAACACCTGTATATTCATTGATTATACATAGGGGTTGAGGCTGAGTGGCCTTTAAGCTCACTTCCAACTTAAGTCAGTCCATGATTCTATAATTTTTCCTTGAATATTGAATTTCACTGTGCATTTGCTTTTACATTCACTACGTAATACATTTAGAGTTTCCTAATAAAGGCATGTATATTTAGATTTAAAAAAAAAAGTAAAAACAAACAAAAAAACAAAACAACAAAAAAAAACTCCACACAAACTAATACACCACAGCCATTTTTATTGCATTATACAGACCAAAGTAATCATAAAAGATGAGTTAGGACATAATTCTGCAGTTCAGCATCTGTGCAGAAGCCTGCCCCATATGCTATACATAAAATTCCTGACTCATGCAGGTGTGACTGCAAGATGCGGGCCACTAAACAATGAAAACAGCTGAAAAACTTTGGTTAAATCAGTTTGGCTGAGACACCACAGTTTAAGCAGGTCAGTATGAAAAGTCATTCAGCTCTCCTTTGGACTTCTTACCCTAGAAAGAAAGAACAGTAATAAAATCGGGCAGCAATAAATTTAGAGCAAATTATATTAAAAAATACTTGTATATAGCACATGTCCTGACTATAAAATAGTAATAGGTCATCAAATTAAATACGATGACTGGATAATTTTATCATTGCTTGTACTGAGCCAAATCCTCCTTTCCATGGGTAAGCCAACCAAAGCAAGAATATTTGCCCAAATAATGCATGATTTACCCCAGTAATTATGAGATTACTATGTTCAATGAGAAGAACAAAAATGTAGCTAGAGCTCAGGGTCAGTGCATCTTCTGTTTATTGTAGTGGGGGAGTAAACTCACTTTTACAGTTCCATAATTTGCTAGAACCACTGCAAAGGGGCTTTAAAGTGATAAGTACTGTTCACTGGTTCAGTACTGGGTCACAGATGCTATACTGAAAACCTGACTCTAGCTCCAGATTAGTCCAGCAAGCTATTAGGGATCATAGTGCATTCTGTAATGAGGAACTATAGGGCTTGGTGCATATGTTCTGAGAGCTTATTTCCCCTCTCCTCACTCATAAATAACTTCTCAACACAATCAGAATCACACAATGATGTTATGATTTATATGCCAGGTTTCAATCTGATCTCAGGTATTCACTTCCAAACCTTTCAAAGTACCAGTTTCTAATTAAAATTATGACACATTCTTTCAACAATAACCCAGTATGCAAGGACCTGCATACCTTTCAAATCTTTCATAAGGCAAAGAGTCAGCCTTAATTTGCAAGTAAAGTTTATTGTTCTGTTGGCTTTATGTAATGAAAACTTCTTAGAAACAGAGTGCCATGTCAGGAATGTGGCACAATATGCATGGCTAGAGCCAATTTTGAAGGAAGTTACAGTGTCAAATCGCTTCTTTTCAGTAGAAAAAACTTCACTCTCAATTATAAATGCAATTCCAGCCTGACCTTGAGTGTGCCCAGGAATGGGGCATCCATCACCTCTCTGGGCAACCTGGATCTCCAGGGAGAGGTTATGGATCCTTTGAGTGCCTTCTTGGCACTCACTGCCAGAATTTCAGTCCCACATAATGAAACATGAGAGCTTGTGTCACTGCTCATGCTATTCAAAGGGATGCCTTTATCGTTGCTGCTTAGGGGCTGAGGGAATCCTCTTTTTTTCTTCATGTACAGATATTAAATGTCGGAGTCAGCAGCTGGCATTCTGCAGCCGTCAGAGGGAATGTCTCAATGGCCATTGCCTCAGTATTGGCAGGAGGAGCAGGGGGGATGTAAATGTAGGCAAAAATCGGCAACTGAAAGGAGGAAAACACCCTTCAGTGGTATTTATGCTTGGCCTGGAGCTCTGGGAGGACAGAGGCTACTAGAAAAGTTGATGGAGAAGCACTCACAGCCATCGCAGGAGGAATCCCTTTGCACTGTGAGGAATTCCTACAGCAAGAAGGGCTGTCACAGGGTCTGTGGGAATTGTTCCTTTGGGGGAGCACTGGCCAAGCCTTGCTCCTTCAGGATGAAGGCAGCCACCACACCTCAGTGGTGAAACTCGGTAGCCAACATGGGCCCTACTGGCTGAGCCTGCCGCTGGTCCTCCAGCCTCTTTGCCCAGCACCTCTCTCTCTCGGGGTGAGGCAGTGAAGTAACGCCCTCTCCTTTCCTTCTCTCCTCTCAGGGCTCTTTGGAAGCAGTGGGTAAAAACCGCCATCTATCACCGGCATTTAACAGCCTGGCTTTCCCCAGAGGAGAAAAAAAAAAAAAAAGGGGGAAGGACGGAAGGAAAAAACCAACCTTTACCACCCACGCAGAGATGCTTTTTTAAGGGAAGGGGAGGGAAAAAAAAAAAAAAAAAAGCACAGAAAACCCAACCGAACAGCAGCGATCCCCTTGGCTGAGCTCCCCGTTCGCCCCCGGCGCGGTGCCCCCAGCTGGGCAGCAGCAGGTGCTCATCCCCCCGCACCTAGCGACTCATCCCAGCCTCCCCCAGCCCCGGGCGGCCTTCGGGTGCCGCTTCCCATCTCTCTGGGAGATATTTTCGGGTGACGGGAGCCACCTCGTCATTTCCGCCAGGAGAAAAAGACCCCGCACACGGGAACCGCGGCCTCAGAGACCCGGTGGACGCAGCCTCAACCCCGCCGCTCCCCGCTCCGCTGCCCGGCAGCAGAGCCCTCGCCAGGGCTGGGAGCCGCCCTCGGGGCCGCGGGGGCGGGAGGCGTCGGAGCGTGCCACCGCCTCCTCCCCCTCCTTTTTCCTCCTCCTCCTCCTCCTCCCCCTGCCGCCGAGCCGGCAACATGAACTGAAATCCCTAGAGAGGAACAGAGGCGGCGAGCGAGCGGAGCGGAGCGGAGGCAAGCGGGGCTTTAGCGGGGCTTTAGCGGGGATTTTGGCTCCTTCGGGTAGAGGAACGGCCCCGTCTGAGGGCAGAACGCTCCCGAAGCTGCGCACAGCCTCGCCCCTCACCCGAAGAGCGGCGGCCTCCCGAGCCCCGCGCCGCCGAGCCCCCATGGCCCTCATTATGGAGCCCGTCAGTAAGTGGTCGCCGAGCCAGGTCGTCGACTGGATGAAAGGTGAGCGGCGCGCCCCGCGTCCTCCCAGTCCTCGTCCTCATCCCTGCAGGTGCTCCCAGCCGACTCCCCCCGTGGTTTTGGGCAGGGGTTGGAAAAGGAAGGGAGCGGCTGTCGAGTCTTCGCCGTCTGAGGGGACTCCGGGCAGCCTCGGGGCGTGGGAGTGGGAGCGGCCGGCGACCCCCGACGGCCGCAGCTCCGGAGGGGTGAGAGGGGGCCGTGCCCGGGGGGCTTCAGGCATGGGGCGCGGCAGGCAGCTCTCAGCAGAGTCTAGAAATAAAAGTTGGACCCGGGGGAGTGCACCCGGTGCCTTGCCTGGCGGCAACTAGCGATCTGCATTCGGGGAGCGGCCCCCGCCTCTTGAGCGGCCCCCGGCCCGAGCTTCGTTCCCGCAGTGCGCAGCCCCTGGAGTCGGCACGGAGGGACGCGCCGCTGGCGTTAAGCCGGGTGCGATGTACGGCCATTTGTTGGGCTGCCATTTATTTGCACGGCTCCTCTGCCTGCTCCCGCTCCCTCACCTGTCACCTTCTCTCTTCCCCACGTATTGAGAATAAAACTTGGACTTTCTGGAAAGGCTTCTCACTTATTCTTCATATACTGGCTTGGCTTTAAAACTCCAATTTAAAAAAAAAAAATGTTTTTTTTTCTCCCTTTCCTTTTTACCTTTAACTTAGTCTGCAGCTGTGTTTTGAATAAATCACTCTCTGATATTATGTATCTTTTAATAAAGATAGAATGACCGGATGGGTACAACTTTCGAACAACTGCTACATTGTGGGAGTTCCTTATAGCGTTCTGCATGCTACTAATGTGACAGTTCCATCATCCTTAAAATTTCAGGCATATAGCATATGTTCTCCATGCTGGCGTTTATAGCTGTCGAGTTATAATTGTGGTCAGTAATGTACATAGCGTTTTGCAGTCCATAGAATTTTAAAAGCTGAATAACATGATACTTCATATTCTAAGGAATTAGCAAACATAACTGGCAACTTGAAGGAGCTGCAGGTGAGCAGCACTAAATGCAAGTCCATTTCAATCCCGGAATGTTTCATTGCAGTCATTTGGCTTGCAATGTTTTTTTTTACTTCTAAAAAAGCTCATGTTGGGGTTTTTTCAAAGCAGTGTCTGAGATACCTTCCTAATGTGTTGAAAATGCAAACAAACAAACAAAGAAGCCCAAAACCACAGATGAGCTTCAGAGATCCCGTTTTTCAAACACTTCAAAATTGTAATACATCACATACTTCTTGTAAGTGACAGGTGAAGTGCATGCCATGTTATGTGTCTGTATTGCTTCAGAGTAGAATTAGTTATTTAAAACCAACAGGCTGACTGCATGAAATCCAATATTGAAAATAGTGCAGCTGGAGGAGGGTTCGGAGTGAGAAGCCTGGAAGCGACTCGTGGGGCTGTAGGTCTGCTAGGAAAAGAATTAGGTGGACTTTACAGGGAAAAAAAGTGGGGAAAAAAGTTACTGCAATCACGCCTACTGTTTGGGTTGTGAAGCTTGCCTTTAAATGTTCACCCTGTTTATTTTGGTGCAAATGCTCATTTGTTTTTTGAAATACTTCCATTTTTACTGAGCAAACAAACCTACGTTGCTTCAAGCTTCCACTTCTTTGTTTTGTATTCTGCAGAGCTGATGACACTTCATCTAGAATGATGTGCACAGAGGTAACCTACCTGCCTCTGGTGAGAACTGTGTGAGAGAATCCACCCACACACCTGAGGTAGTTTCAGACGTAGAAACAAGTAGGACTGGCAGCTGTGTGCAGGTCACTCTGCCTGGCAAAGCTGGGGGAAGGACAGCAGTGGGGAAGAGCTGCAGCAACTTTGTTTTCCTGACTTATTGTGTGAACACAGTTGCTAGAATCCAGGTGAAAAGACATTCTTTAAGTGTGTAGTTTCTGAGAAACACAGTCCAGAATGTCACAAAAATAGCTTGTGTTGGTTATTTGGAGAGGTACCTAAGCAGGTATATGCCTAAAATGGGAATGAACACATCTTTCTCAAGAGAACTTCGGGGTGAGTGCATTAGTGGTCTCTGCATTAATAGCACTTAATTTTGGTCTGCAGAAATTACCTTCAGCTCCATGACATGGGAATATTAGGCTGAGTTACTGGGGTTATTTTAACGAATTACAAATGCTGAACTTGGTTTTAACCTCTTTCTTTAAATAAGTGCCCTGTTATGTAATACGCTTGCTAAAAGCACTTCTGTAAAGAGTGTTCTTCAAAACAGATTTCAATGTTCAAAGCACAGTCTTTCCTGCAAAAGGAAAATCCTACTGTTTAACATTGTTTACAGTTATCTGAAAGCAAGGGGAAATGAAACACTTTGGATTTTATTGCTCTCAGTGTTTCTGTGATGGTCTTACTGGTATGACCTGAACGTTTGCAATAAATTCCCTGTCTGGAATTCTTTATTTAGGCAAAAGAGCCGTGACATCAGTAGCATTTTGTTCAGAGCATGATAAAGCATTGGGCCTAGCATTAAGGATGTGAAAAATGAAGACAAAGAAAGTATTCCAGCCCCGAAGTGTTACATAAAAGTGCCGACTCTTTGCCAGATGGCTGCATGGGGACTGGGCTCAAGGCGGTGGGTGTTCACCAAATTAATGCAGCCTCCCCAGTGTGCTCTCAGTTTTTAATTTCTTAACATCCACAGTAGGAATGGGAAGTCCTTAGTGCTCCTTGGGTGCTAGCACTGCTCATAGGTGGAGTTGGGCATGGAACTGGTTATGTGCGTGAGTAAACCGCTGTCTAAATTTTGCCTTGTGAAAATGTGTACAGTAAGGTGTTCAGTAAGGTGTACAGTAAGGTGGATCCAATTGTGTGAACCAGGTGATGTCAACCAATTAAAGCTTTGCAATTGAAAATGGGAGCCTGTGTCAGCAGATGAGTTCTTGTCTGTTTTGAAGTGAACTCGCCAGCACTGAATTGACTGTCACGGAGCTGGAAAAAGAGCAGATGGATTAGCTCATCTCTCCCACAGGATGGCATATTGGATGTGCAGGATAAGATGAATATTTAAATTGATTCAAACTGCGCGTTATTTCACTTTTCTTATATTTAGTACTAATTTTAAAGGCCCTGCATGGATCAGTGAGCTGAAACTGTGTCAATCAACTCCTCTGCCTCTCCTTTTGAGGACATATGTGGATTCCACTCCAGCGTTGCAAGACGTTGGCATGTTGTATGGGCGGGCGTCATTGAGCATCATGGCTTTCACTGAGTTGTGAAGGGAGCTTGTCAGATGTGCTTTGGATTGCTAGGGCTCTGAGCAAACTCAAAGACAAGGCACTCAATTACCTTCCAGCCACCAGGAGATTTTTAACTGGGTCTTGTAATTTTCCTTCTTTTGTTCCAGGTTATTTCTAATAGCTGTAGTTTAAGGGCTTGCTGCTTTTAACAATATTCTAGTTTTAATTCAGCACCATTTTTGCAGTGGGAAATGTGTTCAAAAAGGCAACCCATCTGGAAAAATTGAAATTACCTTATGTAAAAAAGATTAAATATATATATATATTTTTTTGGTAAATGACAGCTTATAGAGCTTGTACTAAGCTCATACAGCTTAAATTGTTGTAATGGTAGTAATACTAATCAAGCTGAATTTTGAAGCATGGAGATACTTTAAAAGCTTTTAAAGCTAAAGAATGTGGTCTTTTTTTACCTACATAAAGTGTACTGTACCAGCATTTAGAAGGATGTAAATATTTAGGACTAGTGGAAGAGAGAGGCTGATGTGAGTGTGCCAGCAAAGAGAAAGCAGAGTGTGAAAGTTTCTCCTTCGGGTAAGTTAATGTTACGTGGATTTAAGAACAGAGTTTCTCTTTGCTCTTCATGTGCAGAGATTCCCGTTTTCAGCAGTGCATTTGCACAAAGTCATCAGGGGCTGCTGACAGCTGTGCGCCAGTAGGTGTAACGGGAACTGTTTGTGCTTCAAGAAAATGCAAGGGTTTGTGAAAATGCTCTGAAACCAAGACTGTAACACTTAATAATAATTAAAATCTTGCTCTGGGGACCCTTTTACTCATGTTTCTGCGTGTGCATAGCCCTAGGACTTCTGTGGCATATCCCAGGTTGTTCTGTAGTCTCTAAACTATTAGCCTGCTCATCAGCGAAGGCACCTTACCTTTCGCAGCACTGGGATTTAGACTTCATAAGCAATAAGAATGACCACAGAGTTACTGTCAGACCTATTTGAGAAGTTCATTTTTTGCCTTGGCTTTTGCTAAAGAAGATTATTATGGACAGAGGTTAGGAGAAAGCTTTTTCTAAAGTGTAGGATTGATTATGACACTGCAAAGATCTTATGAGCATCTGCCTCATGGTAAAGAGGTGGTGTGCTTGCATGTATGTTATGTGCCCTCATTTTGAGCTTTCAATTTTATCCTCTTCAGTTTTCTTTGCTGTGTTGAGTTAAAGGTACTTTTTTATACTACTTGTTTTTGCCTTTGAGCAACAACAGTTAACAAATATAACTTAACAAATATTTTAGAAATAATATGTGTATTGCTAAATGCTCTCAGAGAAACAAAAGATGGAAATCTAAGAATATGAAAAATACATGCTTTCTAAAACTTTAGTTCATTGTAAGGATTGTGGTAGATGACTGATTAGCTGCAGAAGAGTCATCAACTTGAAAAGTCATTGTGTATCACCGTATGTAAAACAGATCAGGTGTTTAACATTTTGTTAGCATTAAAACAGCATTTTTTTTTTCCTCCCAAGAAAAGCAAACCAAAATTCTATGGTATCAGAGGATACATACAGTTGTCCATCAGCTCTGAAGCAATGCTATTAAATGCTATTAAATGTAGCTATGAGTTTTACTGTAATGCCTAGCAAGAAAACCTGTGGAAAAACTGTAGAAAAAGACAAAGTGGTGCCACAGTTGGAGCTTAATTATGATGAAATCCTGAACTTGCTAATTTAAAGGTAGTTACTCCATTCATAAAAATAATAATTTCACTAAGAGGATGTTGAATCCTTGC